CCTCCAGCCCGCCCCGCCGCCACCCCAGACCCAGAGGAAGGACCCCTTGGCCCGGACGCCGGGCGCCTCCGCCCCCGCGCGGTTAGGCCTCGGCCAAGCGGGCCAGTCGTCAGGGTCCCAGGAGGAGCCGACGCATCTCTGGACCCAGTTGTTCAGCCAATCAAGTTGACGGTATGGGTTTGGAACCCTGCCCCCTGCGCTCCTGGAGCGCACCCATGTCTACTCTTGCACACTCCCAGGGAAAAGGTATGGCCTGGTTTGCGGGTTGTGTGCCATTCAGAAAAGCTTAACTCCGCGCTGCTCGGCTCGTTGCAAGCGTGTAGCAGCTAGTGTGTTTAGCGGGCATTGCTGAAGCAGTTCCAGGAAAAGGGGTGGCTCAAGGCAGTGTACTCGGGATGACCAGCTCCGTGTGCGCGCTGGGAACAAACAGCATGGGGACCGCTCTTGCCCAGGCAGCCTGTGCTTTGCCGGGGACATGAGGCCCTGAGCCAGTCCCTGCGCAGCTACCTGCTGGGATTTGGCCCCAGGTGGAGGTTGTGGGGTGGGGGTTGTCTAGGTCCTGCCTGGCCTGGAGGGAGGGCGTCCTTCCAGCACTGACAAGTCTAAGACTGGTATTGCTTGAGGCCGGCACTCAAATGGCCGTTTCCTTAGGTGAGGGGGTCCCTTCCTCTTGAAGGCCTGCCTCTCAGGAGGTCAAATCCCAACCCTCTTTTTTTATTAAAAATAAGATATATTGAAGTATAATTTACATGTGATGAGATGCACAGATGTTAAGTGAACAGAGGGATGAATAGATACACACACACACACACCATAGTGTAACAAACACCACAACCAAGATATAAAATAATGCCATGACTCCAGAAAGTTCCCCCGTGCCTCTTTCCAGCTACCCCTCCTCTGAGGCAATCAGCAACCACTGTTCCTATTTCTTTCACCACAGATTAGTTTTGCCTGTTCTAGAAATTGATATAAATGGAACTGTACTGTATGTTGTCTTTGTATCTGGATTCTTTTCACTCAGCCAGATGGTTTTTCTTTTTTTTTTTTTAAAGATTTTATTTATTTGACAGAGAGAGACACAGCGAGAGAGGGAACACAAGCAGGGGGAGTGGGAGAGGGAGAAGCAGGCTTCCCGCCGAGCAGGGAGCCCGATGCGGGGCTCGATCCCAGGACCCTGGGATCATGACCTGAGCCGAAGGCAGACGCTTAACGACTGAGCCACCCAGGTGCCCCTCAACATGAATTCTAAAGGGAGATAGTCCAAGGCTGATGTGGCAGCTCAAAAACCTGTGGCGTTTTCCTCATGGCTCCGATATGGCTACTGAATGTCCGTGCATCACAGCTGCATTCAGGCAGGAAAAGAAGGGGGAGAGAAAAAGACAAAAAGCAAGACCACCAGAATCTGTCCCATTAAAAAAAAAAAATCTTCCTGGTTAGCCCCCATCCAATGATTTCTGCTCACATCTCATTAGCAGAGCCATGTCTCCAGGCCACCTCCATTTGCAAGGGGGGTGGGGGGTCCAGAAAGGAAGCATTTTAGCTGAACCTTCTCTACCTCAAACAAAATTTGGAAGAATGGCGGACGAGGTTTTGGTAAGCTCCCAGCACCGACTGCCACACCAGGGAAACTGTTTAACTCTGAGGTTGGAAAAACAGAAACTGATTCTTACATCTTTTTTCTTTTCGTCAATGACCCAACTCTTATGCCTGGACTCCTTCAGGATTTAGGCATTTGAAATGGAACAGCCCAGGGTCCCACAGTTCAAAAGCCCTGACTTTTTGTGCAAGTCAGCAGTCACCAGCAGAACAGAAAACTCTGTGTACTTAAGGCAAGGATGAATTTCTTAAGAGGCTCAGTGTTGTCAGGATGGTGAGCTGGAAAACCAGGCTCAGGGCTCAGCTTCTGTTCAGTTTCATCGGCAGCATTTCTCCCTTTTGAGCAGTTCCTGAAACAGGCTCGTGCAGCCGAGACGAGATGGAGTTGCGGGGGCCCCCGTGGGAAACCAATAGCCCCCCTCAGACAGGGCAGCTCGTGCAGACTGCTCCTAAAGGTGCGGCTTCGGGAAACCATCGGGTGACGCGAGCTCAGAGCTCACAACAGTGGGGAGATGCAGGAGACGTTAGCTGCACGCCGGAGGGTAACACGCGTGGGGGAGGCTCCCACGGGAGCATGGCCTTCGTGGAAGACAGTGAAAACCGCCCAAAGGGGGGGGCTCTTCCTTCAGAGCTTGCTATCCATAGCGGGGGTGGGGGGGTCCTGCAGCTTCACTGGCCTCGGGCACAGACTCGAAGGCAGGCAGGGGCGAGGGGAAGGTTTGTCGCCGACAAAGGGCGGGCTGGAGGCGTGCCCTGATCGCAGGCTATTGGCGCGGGGAAGGGGGGCACCCCCGGTGAATGGCTAGGGGTGCATACTGGGCCGGTCCTAAGCTGGAAGCTGGGGCAAAGATGAGGAAAGCGGTCAGTTATGAATCAAGTCGTGGCTGTCTAGGGTGGGCTGCTGCTGGCTTGCTGGGCTGGTTGCCGCAGAAGGTGGGTCAGAGTTCTGTTCTCTCTGGTCTGGCTCTTGTCCGTTTCTATCTTCAGTGTCTCACCTTCCATATAAAGTTTGAGGGTGAAAGGTGTGCGTACAGGGAAATGGGAAGGATGGACTCTTGTTATGGGCCAGGGAGTGGTGCGGATGGGTGGGGGAGGTTCTGCGGAGAACTGGCTTTGTCTCAGAAGGCGGCAGCCCCAGGTCGTCACGGAGCTTTTGTGCGGAGCGAGACTGGCTCCCTCAGATGGGGGCACGGGAGCACCTGTGTTGGCAGGAGGGGGTTCACGGAGATTTGAGGGTTCAGAGTTCTCCAGCCTTGCTCTGTCTACCTAAAGTACCCCACTGCTTCCCCACCAGCTCCTTACCTGATGGGGTTGAGTGTTTGTCAGATTCTGCAAGTCTCCAAGCCCTAAATCAGGCTCCAGGCTCATCTGTGGCCGTTTCGGTATAAATCATGTACTGTATAATTCGCCCATTTAAAGTGGATGAATCGATGGTTTTTGGTTTATTACATTAGTTTTTAAAAATTGTAGTAAAATATATATAATATGAAATTTGTCATTTTCATCATTTTTAAGTGTACAATTCAGCGGCATTAATTACATTCCCGATGTTGCACAACCATGCCCCCAACTCCCAAAACGTTTTCATCACTTCAAGTGTGTCCACTGAACCATAACTCCAATTCTCCTCTCCCCCAGCCCTGGTAACCTCGAATTTAATACCTGTCTCTATGGGTTTGCCTATGATGGATGTTTCATGGAAATGGAATCGTGCAGTAGGTGGACCACTGTGACTGGCTTCTGTCTTTGAGCATAATCCTTTCAAGGCTGATCCGTGTTGTAGGACATATCCACAGAGACTACACCATTTTCCATCCCGTCCAGCATTGTACGAGGATTCCAGTTTCTCCAATTCTTTGCCAAAGCCTCTTATTTCCCTTTTAAAAAATTATAGTCATCATGGTAAGTGTGAAGTGGTATCTCATTGCGTGTGTTTTTTTTTTTTAATTTTCAAATTGTGGTAAACTGCAAATAACATAAAATTTACCATCTGAACCATTTTCACGTGCACAGCTCAGTGGTAGTAAGTGCATTCACAGTGTTGTACACCCACCCCCAACATGCCCAGAACTCTCTTCATCTTGCTACACTGAAACTCTGCACCCATTAAACTATAACCCTCCATTGTCTCCCCTACCAGCGCCACGCAACCAGCATTCTACTTGCTGTCCAATGACCTCCTATAAATGGGATCATACAGTGTTTGCCTTTTTGTGACTGGCTTCTTTCACTGAGCATGATACCCTCCAGGTTCGTCCATGTTGTAGCCTCTGTTGGGATTTCCTTCCTTTTTAAGGCTGAATAATATTCCCTTCTATACGTAGAGCACATTTTGTTTCTCTGTTCATCTGTTGATAGACATGTGGCTTGCTCCCATGTCTTAGATACTATAAATAATGTTGCTACAAATATCTCTTTGGGAATCTGCTTTTCATTCTTCTGGGTGTATATGCAGAAGTGGAATTGCGCGATCATGGGGTAAATCTGTTTTTAATTTTTTGAGGAACTGCCATTATGCAAGGGATCCCATTTCTCCCCATCATTTCTCATTCTTATTTTCTGTTTGTTTGTTTGTTTGTTTTGGCTTCTATTTGCCATCCTAAAGGGTATGGGCTATATCTCACTGTGGTTTCGAAGTGCATCTCCCGGATGACTGGTGGTTTTCATCATCTTCTTGTGTGCTCTTGGACCATTGGTCCAACTCAACTCTCCAGTATTTATCATCACCGCTGACCCCGTAGGGACTCGGTGCCACAGTTACCTGCCCTCCAGGGCCTGTTTCCACCTGCCCTTCAGCCTCTGCCACCGCCAGTGTTAATTGGTGATGCCACAGCATCACCCCGTGGGCCACCGGGGTCTCCTCTTCCCTGACAAAGAGGTTCTCCATGGACTTCTCCAGTCTGTGAGCATCGCTTTCCCAGAATCCCATGTTCAGTGGGCCCAGGGACACAGCCACTCTATCAGTCACGGTCTTGCTGGAAAACAGGCGGCACACTCAAAATTGGGTGATTGAGGTGAATTTATCTTTTTTAATTTTTTTAAGAAGATTTTTATTTATTTGACACAGAGAGAGCGAGTGAGCACACAAGCAGGGGGAGCCGCAGAGGGAGAGGGAGAAGCAGGCTCCCCGCTGAGCAGGGAGCCCGACGTGGGTCTCGATCCCAGGACCCTGGGATCATGACCTGAGCCACCCAGGCGCCCCTACTGAGGTGAATTTAAATAAAGGAAACCTTACAAAGGTGTGGGCAGGGTTTAGGGAAAACAAACAAGGCTCTTGCGGTGCCTAGGGCTCTAGAACCATAGGGACATCCCCGGAGCTGACGAGACCAGGGAGGAGCAGTTATGGAACCCAGAGAGGGTAGCTGAGCCGACAGGGCCTCCTGAGAGGAGCTGTGGCCGCTGGTGAGGGAGGCCGTCCAGAGAATAAATACCAGACTTCTCGCTCTTCCCCCCTCTCGGGGCCCCGCTCCTGTCCCTGAGGGTCAGCGCGCTGGAGGCCAGCCAGGGGGCCGAGAAGGCAAAATGCAAGACGCCTAGCGCGTTCTGACAGGTACTTTGCATCACTCCAGCTGCTGCCCGTCATAAAACAATGGCAGACAGGGGCTAAGCAACAGGGGTTCGCTCTCGCGTGAGGGCACCCAGGCAGGTGCTGCCGGGCAGCTCAGGGAGGCCGCAGTCCCGAGTCAGCGCCTCAGGAGGGTGGCCCGCGGGCCAAGCCGCACATGCGCACAAGACTGCCCGAGCGCGGGGCGGGGGTTCTCCTCACCCCGCTTGGCCCCGCCTGCTGACACTAGTCAGAGTCTCCCCGCTGAGAGCTGGGGCGGGGTGACCCTCCGCCGGAGCCCTCTGTGTGGACTTGGAGGGGGAACGGCTCGGGCGGGCAGCCCGGAGGCCACGCTGCTCCGGGGAGGCGGGGGGGGGGGGGGGGGCCGTGCTCACCTCATGGTCTGGTTTACTGTCAAAGTAGGAAAGGCAGCAGCAGATAGGAATAGCCGTGGCCTCGTGGCTCTGAGCCTCACCGGCACTCATCTCTGCAACTGGGGAAGCTGTCCCTGCCTTTCCAGAAGATTCCTCCTACACTCCAGGGGGCCAGGAGTTTACTTTCGCAACAGACCTGGAGAGCCAGAGACGTGGGGCTGCTTCAGCTTTCTGCTCTGGAAAAGTCCCTGAGGCAAGGAAAATACAATTGGCTTGGCTACCTGCTTGGAATGAGCGAAGGAAAAAAAGAGAAGAAAACCCGAGTGAATGTAAATGTTTCATAAATGACCCTGACCTGGACCTTAACTATGGACTCCTCACACTCACAGCTGGGGCTGACTCAGCTAGGATCCCTGGGGGCTGCCAAAAAGCTTCAGACCCAGTTAGCACCCAGCCGCAGGCTCTCTCTATTTCGCTGCTGGAAATGTGGCAGCCCTGCCCCAGAGATATGGGGTTCCTCTGGGACCCTGCCCCACCCGTGGCCACTGTCCCCATTGCTCAGAGCCCCTGCTCACCATCCCCCCCCCCCGCCCCCGGAAGCATTTCTAACAAACCCCATACTGAGCACACACAGATCAAGACAAAACCTCCAGGCCGCTGGAGTCCCGATCAGGAGCAGTGACCCTGTGCTGCTCACTCTGGCCAACCTCGCCCAGGAAGACGCAGCCCTGGGGAGCACAGCGCCCGGAGGCCTCGGGAGGAGACTCCTCTAGTCACCCCACCTTCCTCGATACATCAGCTCAGGGCTGAAGCCCAGAGTACCTTCCAGAACCTCAGCACTCTCCTTTCCTTGCCTGGACTATGGGACTCACGATATCATAGTCCTGTCCCTTCAGTGTCCGACTCTATCACTAGGCTCTCAGCCTCCCGAGGACAGGGGCACCGTGCGCCGTGTGCATGTGAGCGCCCAGCGTCTACACCAGGGTCTGCTGAGGTCACTGGGCCCCTGCTTCTGGCAAATGCATCACCATCCTATTACCTACACCTTCCTTTTCTCAGTGTTCTGGGACCATAATATCGTTTCTGTTATGTTTCCCTGTGTGTCATTTAATGGCAGCAATCAACGCCCCACTTTACAGGACACAGAGCTATCTACAGTGACTAGTTCCTTACGCTGTGGGTTACCACGGAAAGAGACTGAGTTGAGCCCAGGGCTAGATGCAGGACGGCCTGTTAGCGTGTTTGTCCACCTAGAACCTACTAGTGGCCTCCGTGGGAGCGATGCTCTCGCCCCCACCCCCACCCCACACCCTCACGCACGCTCAGAAGCTGCCTGGCTGGGCTGGTTTGAAGGGGACGTTCTGGATGACCCAGAACATCTGTAGAACACTTGTAGATGATCTTGCACTGAAAATACTCTTTGCTGAGCCCCCGCCGCCTACGTTCAGTGTACTGGAGGCCTCCTGGCGACCACAGCCGGGGTTCTTTGAATCCCATGGTGGGATTGCCTATGATTAGGAGCTGGGATTCCTCCCCATTGCCCTGGCAGCGGCTGGTTCCAGGGACTGGCTACAGGCTGCACAGAGCTGCGCTCTCCAGGGCCCGGGCTCCGGGCTGGGGCACCGGCGTCGCCTGTCACAGAGCCTTTGGGATGCCAAGCATTGCCAAGTCTCAGGGGTGACGAGGCCTCAGAGCAGCTGCCCTTTTCCCAGGGCTGAGGCATCCCAGGCTGAGAGCCAGCCCTGGCTGTTTGAGGGGCTTGACCCCCACTTACCGTTCAAGGTCTTTGGATAACAGGGAGGGTGGCCCTCGGGCTTCTCCAGCTGGGCAGGGCCAGAGGGGCTGGGCAGGGCTTGGGGTGGCCCAGGAGACTTAAAAGCAGGGCCCCCAGCATGGTTGTCCCGTATCTTCCTGAGAGCAGCAACATGGCCTTTCTCTGGCTTCTCTCCTGCTTCGCTCTTGTGGAGGCTGCCTTCGGTTGTGAGTGTCGGGACCCCAGGGGTGGGCCTGCCAGGCCTGGAGCAGGCTGAAGAGGGGTCCCGAGCCCCCAGTGGCTCTGCATCCAGCCCCAGGGAAGGAGCATGAGGGGCTCTGTCCAGAGCGAGCCCTGGGGCCCAGCCAAGAAGGAGTTTGGAACCCCGTTCCCTGCACGCAGCGGCCTCTCCCCAGACTGGCAAGCTGAGGCAGTGGGGAGCACAGGGGTCCTTCTGGGCCTCTCTGAGCACTTGGGCTCTGAGCCAGGAGGGTGCCAGAGACCAGTGTGGGCCCCGCTGAGTCCCGGGGCCCCAGGCCTGGCTCGGGCAGGGGTACTGTGAGCAGAGGAGGGGAGCGGTCGCAGGAGACTCTCAGTGCCCATCCTCAGATTTTTATTTATTGTGTCAGGCACTTGTGAAGTCCTTTATTTTCCATTAAAAAAGAAGAAATGGTAAAAACTACAGGAAATAATACGACAACCACGTACCTACCATCAGGGTTTTGCAAATATTACTTTTTTTTTGCTGACTTGCTTCAGGGATTTCTTTTTAAAACATAAACTAGGGGTGCCTGGGTGGCTCAAATGGTTAAGCGTCTGCCTTCGGCTCAGGTCGTGGTCCCGGGGTCCTGGAATCGAGCCCCGCATCGGGCTCCTGCTCAGCAGGGGGCCTGGTTCTCCCCCTCCCTCTGCTTCTCCCCCTGCTCACGTTCTCTCTCTCTGTATGTCTCGAATGAATTAAAAAAATAAAATAAAATAAAATAAAACATAAACTAGATTCAGCTCATGCCACACTCTCCCTCCGACCCTCGTGGAATGTGAGCCCGATTCCGAGCTTGCTGTGCCTCATTTCTGGGCGGGCTTTTACCAATTTACTACATACTTAGAAATCCACAGATACCATACAAAATGCGTACAAACTTCCACACACAGTATTATACGCTACATCAATTTTAAAATGTGCCCGGGGCACCTGGCTGCCTCAGTCGGTGGAGCTTGCGACTCTTGATCTCAGGGTGGAGAGTTCAAGCCCCAGGCTGGGCACGGAGCTTACTTTAAAAAAAATAAAGTGCCGGGGCGCTTGGGTGGCTCAGTCGTTGGGCGTCTGCCTTCGGCTCGGGTCGTGTTCCCAGGGTCCTGGGATCGAGCCCCACATTGGGCTCCCTGCTCCTCAGGAAGCCTGCTTCTCCCTCTCCCCCTGCTTGTGTTCCCTCTCTCGCTGTGTCTCTGTCAAAAAAAATAAAAATAAAAATAAAATAATAAAGTACCTTTTGCCGCCCATGTAATGTTTTAGATTTATGCCCGTTGGTGCGGAGCCCCATCGCTGTAATCACTGTAGTCAGCTGTATAAATTCATCCTGGGATAGTTCTAATGTTTTTGCTGTTACAAAGAAAGCGATTAGTATGCTGACATGTTCTGGCAAGAATGCTCTGCGTTGGGTTACCCAGGGGCAGCAGGGCAGGCACTAGCCTGTGTTACCCAGGGGGGTGCGGTGACGGCTGCAGGAGCCTAACTTGACTTGCGCAGGTGCCGAGAATTCCCCAGGTCCTCACGGACATATTAAGTACACTTGTTTTTTCTCAGCGTCTGGGACAACTCAAGCCCTCGTTTTCTGTTTTCCCCATGTGTCCATGTATGGGGCAGAACCAAATTATTTTATTTAATAAAATAATTAAGAAACATAAACTTTATGCATGAATAGTTCCTGAAATCTCTGGAAAAGAAAATTCAGCGAGGGCACAAGGGTGGAATGTACCATTTCCTACCCGCCTGGGCAAGGCGTCCTAGTTCCAGATTCCCCGTGCGCTTGGGATCAGCCAATTTTAATCTCACTCCTCCCATCCAACAGGTGAGTTTTGACCTGAGAGGGGAGCCTTGTTTGCTCCCCCGTTTACTGAGGTAAATGAGCAGTGGAGATTCAGGGACACTCTGAGTTCTCACAGCAAGAAGGCTGGGAGTCCAGCCCCACAGTCTGATTTCTCAGCCTGTTTTCTGCTCCTTCATCAGGAAAGCCCTGGACATGGCAGCATGAGTAGGGTTAGCAGGCTGCATGTGGGGATCCTCATGCCTACAGGTTGAGGACTGCAGCAGAAGTTGCCTGGGGGTGGTAGGAGGGTGGTGTGGGGTCCTGCGCGGGCCTGGAAGAAACTAGTTTTGCAGATTGGCCCTGGGCCTCAGCCTTCTTCCCCCTCCTCCTGCCCCCCCCACCAGACTGCGGGGTCCCCACCATCCATCCCGTGCTGAGTGGCCTGTCCAGGATTGTCAATGGGGAGGACGCTGTCCCGGGCTCCTGGCCCTGGCAGGTGTCCCTGCAGGGGAGGGGGGAATTCTGCCCCTGAGTGGAGGACACACGGGGGTATTGGCCCACCCAGGGCCAGGCTGGGGGCTGCTGGTGTCCAGCCAGCACTGACCCGTCCCGTCTTCCTCCAGGACAGCACTGGCTTCCACTTCTGCGGGGGCTCCCTCATCAGCGAGGACTGGGTGGTCACTGCCGCCCACTGCAGGGTCCAGTGAGGCCTGGGCAGGCTCAGGGCTCTGCTTCTGGCTACATTTCGGGGTGAGGAGGGAGCAGGGCCCACTCCTAGTCCTTAACTTCCACGTGATTCCTCTAGCACGTCTCACCTGGTCATGACTAGGGAGTTTAACCAGCGCTCAGATGAGGAGAACATCCAGGTCCCTGAAGATTGCCAAGGTATCCCTGAGCCCTGTCCCACTGGCCTGGGGGGCTCAGCCGAGGGGCTCGGGGCAGGAGCAGGAAGGACAAGACCCTTGGGCTGCTTGAGACACAGGAGCCCAGGGGTGGATGGGGCTGCCCTCTGAATTCTCATTCCGGGCTCCTGTGGGTCTGTTTCTTCCACGGGCCGCCAGAGAAAGAGCTTATCTCTTTGCAACCTGCAGATTGCCAGCGAATCCGAGGGCTTGATTTTGTTGTTCTGGCTCCGCCCTATAGGTTTTCAAGAACCCCAAGTTCAACATGCTGACCGTCCAAAATGACATCACCCTGCTGAAGTTGGCCACGCCCGCCCGCTTCTCCCAGACCGTGTCCCCCGTGTGCCTGCCCAAGGCGACAGACGAATTCCCCCCTGGTTTGCTGTGTGTCACCACCGGCTGGGGAAGGACCAAGTACAACGGTGAACAGGACCTGGCGTTTCCCCCCAGGAGATGTGTCTGCGCTTGGGGCTGCCTGAGTAGCAGGAGTCTCCAGGGGGGCACCCCTGTGGCTTTTTTTTTTTCTTGTCTAAATTGCAACACAGCCATAAATCTTTCCATTTCTTTATTCAAAACCCTCCTGGGGAGCCTGGATGGCTCAGTCGGTTAAGCGTCTGCCTTCTGCTTGGGTCATTCCCGGGGTTCTGGGGTTGGGCCCTGCGTCGGGCTCCCTGCTCAGTGGAGAGCCTGCTTCTCCCTCTGCCTCTGCTCCCCCTGCTTTGCTCTCTCTCAAATAGATAAAATCTTAAAAAAAAAAAAAAAAGCTTAAGCGCTCTGTACTTGAAGACTAACTGGCCGAGAAACACCGACGTACCAGCAAGCATCGCCCTCACGAACTTGCAGCCAGGTCCACGTTGCCCCCTTTCCAGGCCGGACTCCTCCCCGGACTGGAGGCCGGTGGCCGTGCTCCGCTGGCCCCGGGGTCCGGGCTGGGAGTCCGACGTCCAGCTGTGGTTCGGGGCCCGGGTCGGCCGGGTCTCCCCTTCCCCGGCGGCGGCCCCTCCTCCAGCGTCCCAAGTGCTTCCGCCGTGGGGTGGGCGGGGGAGGGGCCCTGACCCCCGCCGGCCTGCTGTGTCCCTCCAGCCAACAAGACCCCCGACAAGCTGCAGCAGGCGGCCCTGCCCCTCCTGTCCAACGCCGAGTGCCAGAAGTTCTGGGGCAGCAAGATCACCGATGTGATGATCTGCGCCGGCGCCAGCGGGGTCTCCTCCTGCAAGGTGCGGCCCGGCTCCGCCACCCCCGCCCGCGCTCGCCGTCCTCGCCCCGCCCCTGCTCAGGCCGGGAGCGCGGCTCCTTTCTGCGCGCGGCTCCTCCCGCTCGCTCCCGCCAGCGGGCGCGGCCAAAGCCCGGACCCGCCGAGCAGGTGCCTCGGACCCAGGGCTCGCTCTGGCCGGGGCGTGCTGCGGGGCTCCCGGGGGCCGTGGCATCCTCACGCCAGCCGCCCCGCAGCGGGGCGGGGTGGCGGAGGTTTCCGGCCCACTGTACAGACGCTGGCCGGGTCAGAGGGTCGGCCACCTGCCCCAGCCAGGCCCTCCAGGAGTCGGTGACGGAGCTGCGGCTGCCGTGGGGCCCACATCGAAGGGTCTCCTGCTCAGTCACTGTGCCCGCCCTGGTCATTTCTCTGCACAGAACCTGGGCTGGGGCAGGTCAGGGCACACTGGGGCCCTGGCACCCCGCTTCGGGCTTGGGAACAAGTCCTTTCTCCTCCTGCAGGGCGACTCTGGTGGCCCCCTGGTCTGCCAGAAAGACGGAGCCTGGACCCTGGTGGGCATCGTGTCCTGGGGCAGTGGGACCTGCTCTACCTCTGTTCCTGCTGTGTACGCCCGCGTCACCAAGCTCATTCCCTGGGTTCAGGAAATACTTGCTGCCAACTGAGCCCGTGGCTCCCATTATCCCAACCCTGAGTGTTTCCAATAAAAGCATACAGAGGGAAGCACTGAGTTCACCTGTGTCTCTGTGTGGCCTAGGAGGTGTGGGGCTGAGTATCTCTATCACCTGCCTGGGGTGTTGTTATCATCCCCTCTTTAGGCATTCTTGGGGAAGCTGTATCTATTTCTCATCCTCCCTGCTCAGGACTCCACCATGGGGTAGAACTAAGGTTCTACCTACTGGACCCAGCTTGACCCAAGGAACTTTCTGGAAGGCAGCAGTCCTTGGCCAGGCTATGCAGTCCATAGCCCTGAAGGGTGGGCACTGGGACCAAGATAGCATATCCATGAAGGCTGCTTCCTCCACCACGTGCCACCAGGCACCTTCCCCTGCCTTTAGCTCCCGCCCTGCCCAGTGCCCTTTGCCCTTCCCTGCTTGGGATCCCAGAGCCCCTGCACAGGTTGGACTCACATTACACCTATGTAGCTCGGGAGATCTCCAATCCAGCACCAGAGCTTGGCACCACTGTCCTTTCTGCTTCCTCCTTGTCCTCTGAATTTCTGGGATTCAGCAGTTAAATCCAAAGGCCCCATCAGACTCAGGTTCAATGCCACTGGCCCAGCTGTAGGTGGGGGCCGGCTTCCTTCATCACAGGTGTCAGGACTGGCTGCCTCTCTTTTTTGAGGTGAGATGCTGGCTGGTTCTTCTGTGGCTTGTACAATGGGGGCAGCTTCATTTCAACATTTATTTCTCCTATATTGTCTGGAATAGTTCCAGAGAGACGCCCCCATGTATCAGTCAGTTGCCCAGCGGTGCCGTTCCTATAGCACATGGAGAGGAAATGTTCACCAGCTTTTCCTTTGCGGATTTTTTTTTTAAAGATTTTATTTTTATTTATTTATTTATGTGACAGAGAGAGGGAACACAAGCAGGGGAAGAGGGAGAAGCAGGCCTCCCACTGAACAAGGAGCCCGATGCGGGGCTCGATCCCAGGACCTGAGCAGAAGGCAGACGCTTAACTGACTGAGCCACCCAGGCACCCCGAGGGGTCCCCGGTTTTAAATAGTTGTTTGATATCTCCATAGGGCCCTCGCCTTCTCTTTCAGCCTCAAATGACTGGGTGTTTGGGGCTTACCGCCAGCCCTCTGGCCATGTCTCCGTAGCCAGTCTGGTGAGGGAAGCTCATTGTCTGGTAGGTGTCTTAGGAAAGGCTCATGGGATTCAAGGTCTCTGAGGTCGTGCCTTACCAGGGCGGTTTGTGCCCTCAGCTAGTGATTTATCGCCTCTTGGCTCTAAATTCACCCGTGGACATCCACTCTGCCATAGTGGATGGAATTCCTGAAAGCGTGTGTTTTGCACAATGAACACAATGTTATGTATGCTCATAGAAGGTTCTGCAGGGACACTGCAGGAGGAAGGTTCCTGCAGGTAAAGGATCGGTCAGTACGGGGTGGGGGGTGTGTGAGGGGGCCCACGGGGCTGTTCCCTAGCCCCTCCCCCAACACAGGAGGTCCCTCGGCGATTTCACACCACCCTCCCACGGTCCTCCCAACGTGGACACCAGGCACTCTGGGCTCCTGCCCTCCACACACCTGTCCACCAGGTGAGGCCTTTCTTCTGCAGCTCTCTGCACATGGACACTGGCTACTCTAGGCTGTGTTCCACAACAGATGCACCATTTGCTTTCCCACCAGTGATGCATGAGGGTTCCAATTGCTCCCCATCCTTGCCAGCTGTAGTTATTTTCCCTTTTTAAAAAAATTATTAGCCCTTATCCTATTTTGCAAAGAATTGCTTTAAATATGTACTATTTCATTAATTCAATGGTACTGTTAATGGAATAGCTTTTTTTAAAAAAAAAATTGTTTATTTGAGAGAGATAGAAAGAGAGAGAGCGGGGGAAGGGGCAGAAGGAGAGGGAGAGAGAGAATCTCAAGCAGACTTCACACTGAGCACAGAGCCCCATGTAGGGCTCGATCTCACGACCCTGAGATCATGACCTGAGCCGAAGCCAAGAGTCGGATGCTTAACCAACTGAGCCACCCAGCACCCCTGGAATAGCTTTCTTAATTTCCTTTTCATGTGTATTATAGGGTACAGGTATATAGAACCTCAACTGATGTTGTGGTGTGTTGTTTTTGCACCTTGCAACTCTTCTGAAGTTATTAGCTTGAATCGCTCACTTGTTGATTCTTTGGGATTTTTCTATATGTAGGATCATGATATGTGCAAATAGAGATAGCTGTACTTTTTCCTTTCCAATTTTAATGACTTTTATTCTTTTACTTGTCTAAATTGTTTGGCCATAATTTCCAGTACAATATTTGCTAACTGGTGAAAGCAGGCATCTTTGTCTTGTTCCTGATCTTAGGGGGAAAGCTTTCAATCCTCCACTATTGGATACAGCATTACCTCTGTGTGTTTTTCATCAATGCCCCTTAGCATCCAGCAAGTTCTTTTGTATTCTTAGTTTTCTGTGTGCTTTTTATCGTGAAAGGATGTTAAATTTGGTCAAAGGTTTTTTTCTGTGTCAGTTGAGATCGTTATATGGGTTTTTCTTCATTCTGTTAACATTGTGTATTCCACTGGCCCATTTCTTACGTTCTTATGTTCTTATTCCAAACCCTTTCGAGCTTGGGATAAATCCCACTTGGCCAGGTTTATAATCTTTTGAGTATGCCGGTGGATTTGGTTTGCTAGTATTTTATGGAGAACTTTCGCCTCTATATTCATGAGACATACTGGTCTACAACTCTCTTTTTTGTAGTGTTTCATCTGCTTTTGGTATCAGGGTAACACTAACCTCCTAATTTCTTTGTGTTTATTATTTGTGATTTTCTAACATCTTAGTTTGGCTCTTTGGCTCATTCATTTTTCTGCCTTTCCTCTTTCCGAATATAAATATTTCAGGCTTTAAATTTCCCTCAAAGCACTGTTTTCATTGCAGCCCATAAATTTTGATATATAATATATCGTCCTAAGTTTTTCTATTTCCATCATGATTTCTTCCACTCATGAGCTATATGGCAGTGTGTTCTCTCCTGCTCTGGTGAGCTTTTTACCAAAGAATGACATAATAAAAGAAAAAGCACAAATTGTGTATAGTTTGATTAACTTTTTTTTTTTTTTTAACTTTAAGTACAATCTACCCCTCAACATGGGACTCAAACTCTTGACCCCAAGATCAGGAATCACGCATTCCTCCGACGGAGCCAGCCAGGCGCCCCAGTTCGATGAATTTTTCTGAGCACACATTCACACAGCAACCAGACCTGGAAACAGCACCGAGCCTCCAACGCCCCCTCCGCGGCCCCAGCAGAGTCCCCACGCCCACCTCAGTGACGTGGGTTGGCTCTGCCCGTTTGGAACTTCATACAAATGGAATCCTACGGTTGCACCCTTGAGTTTTTCCAATCTAAGTTTTTTTTTTATTTTTCCTTCAACCTGAGGAATCTATCTCCATAGTTTCTTCGCCCAGAGAGTTGTATCCGTTTCTGCTTTTTCTTCATCTCGTTTTCTGGGACCCCTGTTTTCTAGGCACTGGCATTTCCTCTTCTAGCCTCCCTATTTCTTTTCATTTGCTGTTTCTTCCAAGAGAGTTTCTTTTTTTTTTTTTTTTAAAAGATTTTATTTATTTATTCATGAGAGACAGAGAGAGAGAGAGAGGCAGAGGGAGAAGCAGGCTCCCAAGGAGCAGGGAGCCCGATGTGGGACTCGATCCCAGGACCTTGGGATCATGACCTGAGCCGAAGGCAGACGCTTAACCATCTGAGCCACCCAGGCGCCCTCCAAGAGAGTTTCTTAACCTACCTTCTAACCCATCAATTTCTTTTTAAAAAACTGATTATTTATTTATTTATTTAGTGCGGGGGATGGGGGGGCATTGGGGGAGAGGCAGCGGGAGAGAGAGAATCTTAGGCAGGCTCCACGCCCAGCATGGAGCCCCACGCAAAGGTCGATCCCACGACCCTGAGATCATGACCTGAGCCAAAATCAAGAGTCAGACACTTAAGCGACTGAGTCACCCAGGTGCCCCACAATTTCTCAACTGTCTTACTTCCATTGAGCCTTCTATTATGTTCTTCAATCACTGTGGTTTTCATGCCTATCATTTCTACCTGGCTCTTCTTTTTCTAGTGTCTTGTTCTAATTTGGTATTGCTGGCAAATGATCTTACCTTGTTTAGTATGGTGTTTAGGCCTATTTTAAGTCTCGGTCCATTTTTTCCCCCCTCATATCTGTTTCCAGTGGAATCTGTAATTCCCGTTTGTGGATATCTTTTGAAGGAGCTGAGGTCCTCAGAATTCTCATTATTTCGGAGAACGGGGCATGGAGAACCGGGTCCTCCCACACACATGGGGAGACGCCAAAGCCGCTGGTAGGGGTCAGTCCCTTGAGCTTAGGACCCAGAAGCAGTGGATGAGCCCCAGGTACACAAGCACAGCTCATCTCTGCCCTTCCTACCAGGAGGCTGCTCTGGGCTACACTGGTGCTCGGTCCCCAAGGAGCAGCTGCCCCCAGAGGGGGTTGAGGGGGGCATGGAGGTGGTCTTTCTGTCCTCCTCAGCTCCTCACCAGCACAGAGTTTCTGCACGACCCATTTATCCAAGGACATCTGCACTAGCTGTCATAGGTGGGCCCGGGGCAGGTACCCACTGCCCCAAAGCACTGGAGTTGGGGAAGGAACAGACAGAATTCGGACAACGCACTTCTACTTTATTCTCCCAGAGCTGAGCCCACAGCCTCCTGCCATTGGTCACAGCCATGGCCACACACAACCCGCGGTTCAGAACGTCCTTTCCTCTCCCAAGTCTTTCTCCCGCTTTTCTATCTCCGTATTTTCCTCTAGATTTCCCTGAAGATTGATCTTGGGGGAGGCTGCCTCCTGGAGCTTGAAAATCGCAATCCTGGGTTAAGGCTGCCACCTAGTGGCCAGTTTGAGAACCGCATGGCTGTGCCTTGCCTCCGACTTCCTTCTGACTCATTTGGTGCAAAATAGAAGGTGAGCCAAATAAGTGATTTTGCATTACCTGGTAGCCTTACTAAAAAAGGAAAAAGAAATAGGT